GTGCAATTTATTGTTTCCATACACACTGTGCGAAAAACGTAAACTGGTGGAAAAAAAATAATTCAAGGTGAGTAAACGAAAAAGTGAGTTATACGGATCGATAGAGGACTGAACGCTCTAAAAAAACATATTAAAAATTTTATTTGAGCAGTAGGTAAAGACACAGTCTGTCGACATCGCAACTTGTGCGTAGCGCAATTGCGTTCTAAGTTAAGGGAATTTGTAGAAAAATTGTCATTTTGAGCTGAATATAGTCCAATGTAGAGGAAAGTATGGGCTATACAATGAGACCACTACCACCAGCTCTCCATGACCTTCCTTGAAAAAGTTATGAAGTTTTTAAGTTTTACGTCCATAGCCTAGAAAATTTCAACTTTTTTGGTTCGTAAAATTTTCTCTCCTTTCCTATATATTCAAAATTTTTTCTTATATACAGCATGATAGAAGAAAGTGTGCTCTTCAAAGTGAGATGTATTCCAGAGTTTTCCGATGAGTTTTCTTAGAGGTATAGCCAGAAAAAAAGTGCCCTGAAAAACAGAGCCCTGTGTACAGTATGTGTTTTTCTCACTATACGTTTTTAAATAGTCCCTTCAATTGGCACACATTATGACCCCTCGAAAAAATGGTTCGATCAAGCTCAAAATTTTACCACAGATACTTCAGACCCTATCTCAGGTTCGTTTTTTCTAAAAGTGTTTTCGACTTCAACTTTCGGCGTGAGAAGGTTTTCAAAATGAAAAATCGATGTTTTATATGGGATTTTCAGTGTTTTTCCTATATCCCGAGAAGGAAAGCATTTTTTTCGAAAAGAATAAAAACGAACCGGAGATAGGGTCTGAAGTATCTGTGATAAAATTTTGAGCTGGATCGGACTATTTTTTCGAGGGGTCATAATGTGTACCAATGAAAATTGGAGTTTTCTAGAAAACCCATAGAAGAACACGTCAGAAAATTCTGGGCAAAAATACATCGATTTTCTTTTTCGATGTTTTATCTCTGGTACAAATTAGAACCCGATCCGACACCAGCTTCCTTAGTTTCCGACAGGGTAAAAAAAGAGGGGGAAGGAGTACTTAATTCTTTGTTTTTTTAAATAAAACAGTAAAACATTTAAAAGCAGAGTAGGGATTTTTAATTTTAATTTTTTAATGATCTCTCTGTCTCTGTTACTATGGCACAATTGCATTCTAGTTTATTTCTGTTTTGAGGTTAAAAAGTCGTATTATCATCGTTAACTGTTTTTGTTGGTACTTTTGATTATATTTCATCATGATAAGCATGTTTCTGTTGATCGAATATGCTGATGCATGCCTTGCAAGTTTCTTCAACATGACGATGATCTGTTCCACAACATCCGCCGAGTACGTTCAAATTCTTCAGCTTACGCAAAAGCGCTCGGTAATCCGTACCGAATTCGACTGGATTGCCAGCATCAAGTTCCTTACTCTCGTTGAGCTCAGCATGACTCTTCTTTGAAGCATTGGCTTTGACACCGTGAATCCGTGCTACCCAAGCTTCGTCAGAGACCAAGACATCTTCGAAACTGCTGGGATGTGCGCAGTTTACCATATAATAAACGGGTGTACTCTGAGTAACTTTATCCACAAGTTCAATTGCGTCTTTCAGCGTTTGTCCTGTCGGTAACCTACCGTCCGTTTCGACAGTGAACGAGATCACTACGGGCATACCAACTGCCTTAGCGGCTAGTGCGATACCTATAGCTTCTTCGGCGTAGTTCATTGTCAGGCCGGTCACCATATCCGCGTTAGTCTGACTGATAGCACCGATTTGTGTCGCATGATATTCTTGTGCTTCTTTAGCCGACATGACTACCGTAGGATTATACCCGTCTCCGCGTGGACCGACAGATGCATTAATAACCATCGGGGATTTTTCGGTTTCATATTCATTGCGAATGTCGCAGAGTAATTCGATAGCCTTGCGATTGATACTAATCAGATCTTGGTCAGAGTAGCCGAGTTTTCGAATCCAATCAGGATTAGCACGCCATGTTGCGCTTTCCAAGATCAATCCAATATCATATTTTCGGGCAATCCGTGCGAACGTGCGTAAATAGTTTCTCATCCATTCGCATCCGGCCTCATCCTTCAACACACTGAATGAGGCGAAGCCGGGAAGTTCCAAACCTTCGTGGTAGATAAGAGTGGTCTCCAGGCCACCGTTAGTAGTAAAGAATGTACCAGAGAGTTGCGGCAACTGTTTTCTGTATTTAGCCATAATGCCTTGATGCAAGAAAGATCGATTATACTGTTAAAAGTTTACTTCTCAATGCTAACAAAGGATTTACATCAAAGTTTACAGTGATCTAGAAAAGCGTTGCTTAACTGCAGGCAATTAGCTGACCTTAAATCTAAGCCGTACGATGTAATAATTGTGCGTTGGATACCACATATTTATCTGAATTTTCAGGACATTCAAAGTTCACGTGTTAAGTAATTTTATGAGACGCATAAAATAATTCAAGCATTCAAAAGTAGTATGTCGCATTAGAACTTATTCCTTAAGACATAATGGACAAAGCTCGATTTTGAACAATGATTGACGGACGGAGCAAAAGCAAACTATGCTGTCATCGCCATCTACAGAAAATACATTGGGGAATCAGCTGAGTAAAATATCAAGCCGATCAAAGGCTTCAACCCGTTCTGCTGTATCGGAAAAAACAGAAAATGTATATCTGCACGCAAAATCTGCAATAAAACACACGTATTATGCCTGTTTTACACTGTTATGTTCATAACATATGTCTTTCGCAGAAAAGATGTGTTTTCACTGATCTTTCAAAGTAAGTTTCGGTCGGTCGACTATTCCTTTACATGCGGATGACAATAAACGCATTTTCTTATTTTCTATCAAGTTTAAGTTATTCAAGCAAGAGTTGTACCTCACAGCATTCTAAAGTGAATAATAATACTTACTCTATCCAGACGTATGTGTATTAGTGCTACTGTGTTTTCTTTATCTGCCTTTTTATCTCTAATAGTCACGCATGATGAATAGGTATTGAAAAAATGGCTATCGATTGTTGCCACGTATCTTCACCTGAGATTTCGTCCCTGTCGAATTTTATTGAGAGAACAAAGGCGCTCGCAGTTCTTTACCTGTAGGAGAAGAACGGATAAGCTGAGGGATAGTTTTTATTTGCGCTAAAACACGACTCAGAGCGGTTTCTGTAACATATTCTGACTACCGAAATTTCTGTAAACTTTTTAACGCTTTTGGTATCTCCTCTCTTGCACAAAAGATGTAAAGATTGTTGTTTTACTTGTGTAAATACTCAAAATATCTGTTGATAATCGGAGCAATCGTAGAATAATGTAATGCGCTTCTCTCTGATGTATGTATAAGAGTAAAAGGCGTCCTCTTAATTGAGAACACTTTTGGATTGTGTGTTCTTGAAGAAAAACAACATTTTATAATCAATCTGAAAGAAGAACAGAATTCACTCATGCACTGTTGAATGAGAAAAATTTATTAATGTATTCATATAGAGTAAAATCCCCTAATTCGAACAGATTTTTGAAAAATTGACTTCTTTTGATTATTGTGAGGTTCTTTCTTAAGACAGTAAATAACTTTTTATATTTCTGGATAGAGAAGAGTGTGCTGAACATGATGGTTAAAAAACTTTTAATTAATCCCAAAAATAAATCAGTTATGACCGGTAGAATGAATCAGGAACGGTCCGTTCAAATTAAATGCAATGCTCCTAATTCGAACGGCAGTGTATATTTTTTTGCTCCTAATTCTAACGGACGCATCAAATACAAGAGAAAAATAGGAGAAAAAGTAAAATGAGTTGTTTCTGCTATCCCAAATGCGTGATCAAGAAAAAATTTTGTCACCAAAAATGTTCTACACACTCGACTCTATTTACCTGCAGCAGTTCAGACCTAACTATCACTTCCTTCCGGACATATTAATTGTTCAAAATAGAATGTATCCGTTCAAATTAAGTGCAAT